TTAATAGAGTACCGGACCAAAGCATTAACACATAGTGAATACATGAACTCCTCAAACTACGGTCATCACCGAGAGTGGTCCCGATTATTGTTACTTCGGGGTTGCCGGATAGGATCAAGAACTCTCATATATTGATGAAAACATAATAGGTTCAGATCTGAAATCATGGCACTTGGGCCCTAGTGACAAGCATTAAGCATATCAAAGTCATAGCAACATCAATCTCAGAACATAGTGGATACTAGGGATCAAACCCTAACAAAACTAACTCGATTACATGATCAATCTCATCCAACCCATCACCGTCTAGCAAGCCTACGTACGATGGAATTACTCACGCACGACGGTGAGCATCATGAAATTGGTGATAGAGGATGGTTGATGATGACGATGGCGACGGATTCCTCTCTCCGGAGCCCCGAACGGACTCCAGATCAGCCCTTCCGAGAGAGTTTAGGGCTTGGCGGTGGCTCCGTATCGTAAAACACAATGAATCCTTCTCTCTGGGTTTTTTTCTCCCCGAAAGTGAATATATGGAGTCAGGGTTGAGGTTGGTGGAGCGTTAGGGGGCCCATGAGGCAGGGGGCGCGCCCAGGGGGGTAGGGCGCGCCCCCACCCTCGTGGACAGGTGGAGCCCCCCTGATGTGGATCTTCCCACTAGTAGAAAACAAGGCTTTCGTTCGGACCAGATAAGCCCATTAGTCCCGGTTCATGCGCTAAAGGCATTAGTCCCGGTTCAAATGGGCCCTTTAGTCCCGGTTTGAGACACGAACCGGGACTAAAGGGTGTGATGCCCTTTAGTCCCGGTTTGTATCTCAAACCGGGACTAAAGATTAGACCTTTAGTCCCGGTTTGGGACACGAACCGGTACTAAAGGGTGCAATGCCCTTTAGTATCGGTTCGTGTCTCAAACCGGTACTAAAGGTCCCATTTTCAAACTCTACCCCCCCCCCAGATCGCCTTTTCAGTTTTGTAAAAACCAAAAGGAAACGATAAAACTTCAAAAATTAAAATCCTTCGAGATGTATTTATGTTACTGCATCTACTAGTTAGGAAAATTTAAAAACATAAATTTGGACATGTTTTGCAAAAAGTGTAGGGAAAATGTAAAACGGCTGTAACTTTTGCATACGATGTCGGAAAAAAATGTATAACATATCAAAATGTTCAAAACGAAAATCCGCATCCAATTTTGACCGCCTATGGCCTGTTTGCAAATTTTTAGAATCCTCAAATTCCAAAAGGAAAAAAAGATATGCTCAAATTTCAGTTTTTTTGAATTTTGGTTAAATCTGGTTAAACTACTTATTCAAAAAGTATTAGTGTTACTAAATAATTATTCAAGAATATTAGTGTTACTAAATAATTATTCAAGAATATTAGTGTTACTAAATAATTATTACAATTTATTTAATTTTGGTCAAATCTGGTCAAACTATGGTCAAACAGGGGCCAAACTATGGTCAAACTACTTATTCAAGAAATATTAGTGTTACTAAATAATTACTCAAGAATATTAGTATTACTAAATATTTTTTTTTGAATTTTGGTCAAATCTGGTCAAACTGTGGTCAAACAGGGGTCAAACTACTTATTCAAGAAATATGTGTTACTAAATAATTATTCAAAAATATTAGTGTTACTAAATAATTATTTCAATTTTTTTAATTTTGGTCAAATCTGGTCAAACTATGGTCAAACTACTTATTCAAGAAATATTAGTGTTACTAAATAATTATTTCAATTTTTTTAATTTTGGTCAAATCTGGTCAAACTATGGTCAAACTACTTATTCAAGAAATATTAGTGTTACTAAATAATTATTTTTTTAGAATAATAGTTTCAAACTCAAACAGTGAAACGTGTGACTTCATGCTCAAGCTAAACTCCTGAGGGTTAATACGATTGACATCTTACTATTGTGAGGAAAACAACAAGTGCAAACTTGGAAACGAGGGGGAATAGAACCCGGAAGTTAAGCGTGCTCAGGCTGGAGTAGTGAGAGGATGGGTGACTGTTTAGGAAGTTAGATGATTTGGAATGATGAGGGGTGATTAGAGATTAGAGGTTAAATTGAGCAGTGATGAGGGTGATTAGAGATTAGAGGTTAAAATAATACAGAAATTTGAAAATCAAGAAAATTTTTCAAAAAAAAAACAATCAATTTTTTTAAAAAAATCATAAAATTTCCTTAAGTACCGGTTGGTGTTACCAACCGGGACTAAAGGTGGACCTCCAGGAGCGGCCACGTGGAGGGCCTTTAGTCCCGGTTGGTGTAAGAACCGGGACTAAAGGGGGGAGGCTTTAGTAACGACCCTTTAGTCCCGGTTCAGGAACCGGGACTAAAGGCCCTTATTCTACTAGTGTCCTTCCAGTACTTTTTATATATTCCAAAATAATTCTCAGTTGATTTTCAGGTCATTCCGAGAACTTTTATTTTTGCACAAAAATAACACCATGGCAATTCTGCTGAAAACAGCGTCAGTCCGGGTTAGTTCCATTCAAATCATGCAGGTTAGAGTCCAAAACAAGGGAAAAAGTGTTTGGAAAAGTAGATACGACGGAGACGTATCAACACCCATCCGGGGTGCTTCCGCGTGCCCAAAGTTAGCCGCGGCACTGTCCGCGTGCAGTCGTCGCACTGTATGAGCGGCATCGGCGAGCCACAGAGCCGTTGCGCGAGCGCTGAGCCCGGCGGACGGCCGGACGAATCCATGCCCGCGAACCGTCGACGGCGGCGGAGGACGAACCCGTACCTGCATGCGGCGATGCGACCTTGTCGGGGCTGCGGGAGATGCTCCCCGACCATTCCATCGCTTGGCGCAGCCACCGGTGGCCGGAAAAGCCAAATCCGGCGGCCCGCGATGAAGGGTCGTAGATCCGCAACTTTCCGGCCCGCTGACGTAGGAGGGGGGAGAGGGGAGGCCTCGTGCGTGTGGCGGCCTTTCGGCGTGCTCCCGCCGGCTGCTTTCGCCAGAATTTTGGGCGGCGTCCCGGCGGTGGGGCGAGGGGGAGGCGAGGTGGTTGGTGGGGAAAGCGCGGGCTAAAATGTCCCCGCCACCAACCACTTCCGCTTATATGCAGGGCACCACAGCACCGAGTGGGAAATCCGCGTATTCGCGGGTTGGGGCCGAGATTTTGCCGCGCCCCTCAAAAAATTTTGCGGGTCGGCCGTCTTTGCGGGGTCTGTTCGGACGGGATTTTTCGGCCAACCCGCATTTTAGCGGTTATTTTGCGGATCGGGGCTTTTTGCGGGGTCCACTAGAGTTGCTCTAAGGATCATAGTTTGCTTGGGTAGCGCCACTTTTTGGCCATGTAATCGTTATCCTGCATGGTTTGAAAAAAGAAGGAAGAGGATGGGTATTTGTCTTTGCCTTTTTAAACACCATTTGTTTGTCCAGAACCAAGTACCCCCAAACCAGGTATGTTTCCTATGTTAGGTTCACCCTCCTTTTTACGCCATGCACCATGCATCATCAGCATGCAGCATGCATCATCGTTGTCATTCCGCTGTCAATCCCGAGGTCTCCGAGTCAATCAATTCGGTAACGTAGCAAGAGCCCTTGAGTCGTGGGGAGTACTACTATAAACAAACAGCCATATGCTTTGCTTAAGTAAACCAAATTCAACTTGCTAGTATTAAAAAAGCGGTACAAATTCAAGATATTTAGCAGAAGAAGAGTGGTTTTGGGGATCGGGTAACCTCATTTTAAAATCGAAATTGATTGCCTCTGAATTAAAAACGAGGCATGGAGCCCTAGGCGCGAAAACAAGGCAACAAGAAGCTCCTCAATTTGACCCACAAGTTGCTCTCATGTCAAGAAACATGCGTATTTTATGCCTCCCCTCCCGGGAAACCTTGAGCATTGTCTCTAGCAGATACCGATCCCGAGGGAGGCAACAACCAAGGTGCATGCATGCTAGATCCAAACTACGCTAGAACAAAAGAACCACTGCAGCTCGAATAACACTCTCCACTACAGATTACACTCTGCACAACTATATTTTCGTTTTCAAAAAGGAGGTTGAAACCCCCGGACTCTGCATTCAAAAATGCACACTAACATCTTTATTATGTTATTTAACAAATCCTGACAAAATAAATACTATATGCTCTACATCTACGAGCTTGATGATGTGCCCTGACCCCGCACCAACGCGCATCATCTAATTTGATGGCTTCATCAAGCCACCCAACAGTGAGCCGAGAGCACCAACCGGTATAGCAGCCGCCGCATGCACACGCTCTAAAATCCATCGCCGCCATCTTCCGCCGTAGTATCCGCAGCTATATTGCTCGGTACTATGTAGTACTCCCTCTGTTTTAAATTTACTCCGCATATTAGAGTTGACTGAAGTCAAACCTTGTAAAGTTTGACCAAATTTATAAAAAAGAATATAAATATTTAGCATAACAAATCTATATGATGTGGAAGTATATTCAACAACGAATCTAATGGTAATGACTTGTTATATTGTATATGTTAATATTTTTGTATATAAACTTTGTCAAAGTTTATAAAGCTTGACTTTAATCAAAATTAATATGCGGAGTAAATGAAAACGGAGGGAGTACTAACATTTTACTCGATGCCATCGCAAAAGAACAAAAGGAGCTGATGCCCATATTTTACAACGAAATCAAGCATTACAAAATGCATGAGGAGGACATGCGTGTATCATATTCATGCGGAGTGCACACTCAACTCAAGTCATCACTGACACACATCGATAAGGACGGGGACGCCATTTGAAAGGTAAAATGGACGAATGTGGCGATGCGTGAAAAGTTGAACAGGGAATAGAAGGCATAAATATAAGACCAACCAACCCCCTTCCTCTTCTCCACTGTCACTCACAAAGTCACAAGTCACAAGCGGTTTGGCACTGATCACTCACCCACCTCCTCACAGGGAACCAGGAGCAGGCAGCTAGCAGAATTCCGGTCACTGGAGGTGGTCGATCGTGTGGCCCTTCGTGAGCTTGCTGTGCTCTGGCGCATGCGCAGTTGCATGCCGCCCATGGCGTGCGGGGGCGGTGCCACGGGGGCGGGGGAGTGCACTGGGAGCTTCTCTTCCGTGAGCAGCACGGGGGAGGGGCTGGGGGAGGAGTTCCGGCTGCCGTTCCTGGCCATAAGCCCGCCGGAGATCGGTGAAGACGACGGCGATCTCCGGCTCGTGATCGCCGGCACCTCCGACCCGCTGTCCGCCCCGCCGGCCACAACGACCAAGAAGAAGAAGAGATGCCTTCCCGGGACTCCAGGTGCGTACACGCATGCATGGAGGCGTCTGAATCCATCCTTCATATGATTTGATTTTTTATGAGCAATTGCATGTGTGATTTGGACTGTTTCAACTTCGATTGAACTGATATCTTTGTTCATTGAGGTTTTTAGTCGCTGAATTTCGTCTCTTTTGCATGAACTCTGTGTTTCCTGGTCGATCTTGTGACTGCAATTATTGATTTGGCGAAGTCAATAGTGGCAGTTGCTGTTTATCAGTCAGTCGAAGTCTCCTGACACTGAAAACTAGGACGGGAATGACAAGACATATATTGTACTCCACTAGATTGCTTGTAGATTTGTTTGCAAAGATGCTTAGTGAGTTGGCTATAGTGTAGTAGGTTTAGTAGTACTCCCTCCTCAACTCAAATACTATAGTGTAGTAGGTTTAGTAGTAGATTTGTTTGACCAGAAATTTAACCAACAAGACCGACTGCGGTAGGAGAAAAATTATACCAATGAATTCATATTGAAATAGCGAATTCAATGGTATAATTTTTACTCCCTCCTCAATCAATCTCATTGTTAAATTTATGGTCAAAGTTAAATCTCAATAAGCGCGGACGCACTACATTGTAGAATAGAATAGAGGGAGTAACAAGAGAAATCTCTTAATTAAATTTCTTAGATAGTGACCTTGAAAATATATACTGAAAACCTCCTGCTAGAAGTCCCCTGACTGAGTGCAAGAGAAATGCCGCGGTATATGCCAAGTTTCTATAATAAAACAATTGAAACAAGAAGTTTCTATAATTTTAGGGACAGTTGTAGTAGTAATGGTATTTTGAAGTGTGGTATATGACTTGTATATGCATTTGAACCCATCCTTCATGCTGTGACTTATACATTTTTGTTCTTGGAGATCCCCTTACTGAGTGCAAGAGAAATTCGCGTGGTTTTAGTTCCCGAATTCCGTCCCTTTGCATGAACTTTGTGTTTACTTCTTCTCGTGACTGCAATTATTGATGATTTGTCAAAGTCAATAGTGGCAGCCACTGTTCGTCAGTCCAAGTTTCCGTCTCTTGACACTGAAAACCATGACGGGAATGACAAGACTATACTGTACGCGTCTGTTTCAACAAGACTATACTCCACTAGATTTGCTTGTACGATTATTAATGAGTTGGCAATAGAGTGGAGCCTATGGTCTAGGTTTAGTAACGGGAGAAATGGTTAATCAAATTTCTTAGCTAATGACCTCGAAATTATCTAGCGAAGATCGCTTAGAAATGCTTAGTATTCACGCCAAATGGCTTTGATTTTGGGCTGGGGTAGCATTTTCAAGTGTGGTATGCATTGGTGTATGCAGACCCGAGCGCGGAGGTGATCGCGCTGTCGCCGCGGACGCTGATGGCGACGAACCGGTTCGTGTGCGAGATCTGCCACAAGGGCTTCCAGCGGGACCAGAACCTGCAGCTGCACCGGCGCGGCCACAACCTGCCGTGGAAGCTGCGGCAGCGCGGCGCCGAGGGCGGGGCGGCGCCGCGGAAGCGGGCCTACGTGTGCCCGGAGCCGGCTTGCGTGCACCACGACCCCCGGCGCGCGCTGGGCGACCTCACCGGCATCAAGAAGCACTTCTGCCGCAAGCACGGCGAGAAGAAGTGGAAGTGCGACCGCTGCGCCAAGCGCTACGCCGTGCACTCCGACTGGAAGGCCCACGCCAAGGTCTGCGGCACCCGCGAGTACCGCTGCGACTGCGGCACCCTCTTCTCCAGGTCCGTCCGGCTTCCTCCGTCGCCGTCCGTCGCTTGCGTCGGCCCGCTCCGGCGATATATCATCGAACTTTGTGACGTCATGCAGGAGGGACAGCTTCGTGACGCACCGGGCCTTCTGCGACGCGCTGGCGCAGGAGAACAGCAAGCTGGCGCAGCCGGCCATGAACATGGCCACGGTGGCCTCGGCGCTCCAGGGCCAGCAGCACGCTCACCACCACCACAACCTCATGCTGCCGTCCACCCACGCCGACGACCTGGACATGGACGCCGACGAGGCGTCCGCTTACGAGCCGGACATCAAGAGCCCGCACCTGAAGATGTTCTCCGACTACGACGCCGACGCAGCCGCCGCCGACAACCCGCTGGGCTGCATGCTCTCCAGCCTCGGCGCTACCCCGACCGCCTTCAGCCCGAGCAGCAGGCTCAGCATGCTGGGCCTGCAGGCAGGGCCGAGCGACCCCGCCGCAATCGGCGGCTGCTACTCCCCGGGAAACAACGGCCTGGCGAGCATGTCCGCCACGGCGCTGCTGCAGAAGGCGGCCCAGATGGGCGCGACGACGTCGAGTGGCTACGGCGTGAGCTTCACCCCTGGCCACCCGGGCCTCGCGTCCACCATGGCCGGGCTCGACCGCCTTCCTTGTACCGCGGGCCCGTTCGGGCCGACGAGAGCCTACGGCACGTACGACGGGGTGGTCGGGTTCGGCGTCGGCGGGCTGATGCCTGGCCAGCTCTACAACGACGCAGCCAACGGTAGCACGACGAGGAACGTTGGACCGGCGGCCAGCGGCGCGGACAACCCGATGGATGATGAGCGCCGGCGAGGCGCCGACAACGGCGTGCGCGTGGTGGACTACATGGGCGTCGAGCACCAGAGAACAAGCTACGGTAGCGTGAGTAGCGCCAGCCCGTTCCCGGATCACACGGGCCCGTGGGCCTAGGGCCGGTCTTCCAGCCCAGGCAGGCTACACGGGAGAGACGACGTCTCTTTCTAATTCGAGACTCGAGACTTCAGCACAATTGTGTACTGTGATCTGATGAATCTATCAGAAATTTCTGCTGTGTGTTCTTCCATCTACCTGAGCCTGTGCAACTACAGACAACAAGTAGCAAAGCCTTATTAAACTAGTCAACCAGCAGCAGGTCATGTAGAGCAGAGACTCTCGATTCAACCAAACTTCCTTTCACTGTTACAGCAGAGATGTCAGATGGCCGCGCATCTCTAACTGAAACCGATTCTGCAATGGTGAACAACAAGACACTTCTCGAGTTGCATAGCAATCCTGATTAATCCACTATGCTGGTTTTAAATGAACACGGCTAGAACTAACACTGGGGAAATGCAGCCATGTGCTCTTTGTTGGTGGCACTCTTGTCACAATTCATCCAAAAGCTTTCCTCATATCCTCGTTCTTCAAGTGGCATCGCTGTTTCGGAGAAAACAGAGCAAGGGTCAAGATAAAGGTAATTAGGCATCAGGATATATTCGGTTTGCCACGTTAAGCATCAAAATACCAGATGGGCTAACAGGACTAGTGGCTAGTCCGACGATAGTTAATGTTTGGTGCGCTTCGAAAATAAAATGAATTCTTCGCTGTGATATATCTGAATCACACATAATGAAGAAGCTAGAGAGAACCGGCGTAAAATCAACCACTTGTGTTCGAGATATACATTCCACTAGGCAACATTCAGAAGAAGGGGGAAAAAAGTATTAGCAATCCCATACATGGCTTCCGGTTCACTGTTGCGATGTAGATTGTAGAAAATTTCACCATGAATATATTTAAGAAACAGGAAGCAAAAATTCCAGGCATGATGGGCTCCTGACCATTTCTGTGCAAGGGAGAAAACATAGTGGTGAACAAAGTAGACACATTGACAAGGCTAGGCATTTTTCAGCTCTTAATCTTCTCATGATGTTTTATACTTGTGTACCTCCTATTTTCAATTCTGCATTGATTGTTAAGTAAACTGTGATGCAGCAAAGTCCCTTTTCAGCACAACTACAAATTGCTACTATGAGACTAAGACCAAGTTCAGGAGGCATGACTTCTGGTGCCAGCACAAGGTTTAACAAAAGTAAGTATTCCATAGAGTGGTCTGGCAAACGACAACTACCACTGACACTGTCATGTGCAATTTTGCAACTATTAAGGGTGAAAATATATGGGTGATAGTTGGATTCGGATGTGTGTAGCCATCTGAGTAGCATTAGGGATCTAAAAGTCAATTGCGGATCCACCATGGTAGCATATCTAAAGGGGGACTTGTGTAATCTTTTAGTAGCTAAGAAACAAATCTGTATCCCTCCATAACTCCTGCTTCTCTTTGTTCTCTTATCTATCCACAACATCATTTGCAACTAACCCATTACACCCTGACAACCACATGCAAGAGACTATGACCACAAGTAGACACCTTGCGATATTCCTCGTTCACAAGTGATTTCAAATCATCTTACATCAAGCATTCACTAGTGTCGCCTCTAGTATCGTTAAATGATTTCAAATCATCTTGCGGCAAGCATTCTTTAATATCACATAACTAGTATAGTTAAAGAGGCCCAAGGAACCAATCACATACGTAACACCACCCCGCAGCTACAGCAAACAATGACATGCACAACGCACGTTACGAAACTAGGTAACCTCTACAAGGAGACTATACAGATCACAAAAAAGGCAAAAGGCAAACCTTGAAGGGCTATCCATGAGCACAGGGAAGATGGGAGGCCAGCTCATCATAAAAGGATAGATTTCAAACAAATCATACTCCCTCGACACTTTGCGCAGGGTCCTGCGTTTGATATCCAAGTAGAGTATGCATTGATCCATCTCCAAGACAAACTCATTATAGTCCCCCACATGGACAATCGTGAAATCAGCAGTAGAATCATCCTCAAGCAAATGGATTGCAGTCATGCAAATGGTGTCCACCAGCAACCAGTTGTCAGCCAGATGTGAAGTTGAAGCTCCTTGATATGTATGAGATACACACCCGAACCATCATCAGCCCGCGGCAACATGACGGTGTCCAGTAGTTGAAAATCCACCCCGTGTGGGGCCTGAATTGTCGATGAGATTGAGGCCTTCAAATCCATGACAAGAATGTCTTTCATGGAGCTCACCGCATAGATTTTGTTGTCAGACAGCACAACTCTGGCACCAAGCCCTGGATACAGGTCGCAGTCGGCCAAGGTAAGATGTTTGCGCCAGGCACCATCGCCATTTTGCAACGTATACACATGCACATGTTTGCTTATGATCTCCACGACGAGAAAAAAGTGGGACAAGCCATCCCCTTGTGCTTTGGAGAAGAGCCGTGTCCAAGTGGTGGAGTAACCGGATTCCTCGATCGTGAGGCTTAATCCTGGGAGGATGGTGGTCATATCTCTACCATAGCTAGCACAGCGGGTATTGCACTGTAAATGCAATTTCATCTCTCGGGCTTTTTACCTTGTGCCAGCTGGTGACGACGCTGCCGTTCCGGCAGACCGCCATCAGCCTCTGATTGGTATCTGAGTAGTAGGTGTCCAAGCGAAAGTCTGCGCGGCGGATGACGGCAGCGAGCTCCGGGGGCTGAGGCAGCATTGGGAAGAAGCGTGTGGCCTCCTTATGGTAGATTTTGAGGTAAAAGCCGAGGAGTCTGGGCGGGTGGAGCTCGCGGAAACGGCGGAGGAAGGCGCCGTCCGAGGCGTGGCTGAGCCAGCGCCTGCAGACGCCGGCGGCGCGCACGAGGCTGGTGGGGAAGCCGACGCGGACGATGATCTCCGTCAAGAGGTTGTCGTCGTCGAGCACCTTGGACACACACGCCAGCGGCGGCTGCGCGTCGCCCTCCGTTCCGTCTAGATCCAGCACCGGCTGCGCCTCTCCTTCCATTCCTGGTCCCCGCGGGTTTAGGGTTTGGGTGAGAATTGGAAGGGGATCGAGGCAGGTCGATCGACTAGGTTTTTTTACCGGTGGGCGGAGCTACCGGCACAGCTCCAGCCAATCACCTTGCACCACCGCACACTGTAGTTTATACCACATGCAATATAACACAGATCCGGCTTGTCTGCTCCTTTCCTATGCTTCCATCCGTGCTCCCACCTTATCCAACGGTTGTATTTTTTTCTTTTTTAGTTCTAATCTAATCATCTCCCCCTCTGATTTTAAGGAGGTGGGGCCGGGCTTTATTTTGTTCCAATCAAATCAAGCCACGTATGCGGGAGAACGGATGGGCACACAAAAGGGGAGCAGGCAAGTCTCGTCCATATAACACTGTTTGCTCTAGGGATCAGACTACTAATCCCTATCATCCCATCAGACCACTCCATGGCCGTTAGATATAAGTCTGTATGGATGGTGGATGAAGCACCATTGCATGCTTCCTACCCCGTTAGGGAGTTTCCAAAACAAAAGCCAATTGACGTATGTTGAGGTTTGATTGCTTCCGAAGGTCACTCACAGTTGCTGATTTTTAGGCAACTGATTTCGATTTGAAGGAAACAAATCAAATCCGACAGTTGCTTCCTTATGATATGCATTGGTCCTTGGTTTTAGCTTTTTTTTAGGAAACAAATAAAATCCGGCAGCTTGCTTCCTTACGAAGCAAAATTTCTGTCTAGTGCAACTTTTTTTTTTGAATTTTATGTCCGGTGCAACAAATACGTGCATCTACCCTTATTTTTAATGTTGTCTATCAGTTCACAACAAATTAATTTATGTTTCGCTCATTGGAGAATTTGCTTCTGTGGTAAATGATACTCTCTGCCTCTATTTATTTGAAGGTTGATGTCTGAAAGAACATGCGCTGCCCCCATGTTTGGTTTTGGTAATTGATGACAATCTCTATGGACTAATGGTTGACTTGAGTTATAATTGAAGGTTTTTTCCATAGGCTTTTCTTGGGGTACATGTGTTGGTTTCAAGGAGAGTTTGTGTCGACCAAGGTGCTATTCAAGGAATTACCTAAAGATTGGTCTTGTGAGAGGTTGATCAAGACTAAGTTAAAGAGTGAATCAAGTTGATCAACCCACAAAGCGTAGAAGATGTACCGAGAGGGATCAAGTGATCCCATGGTATGGTAAGCATTGTCAATTACGCTTTGTGTACTAACCCATGGTCTTCGTGAGGGTTCTTTGTGGGGTTAGGTTGCGGTGTGCAAGTTCAAGTGGAGCATCACAAAGAGATCAAATGATTGAAGCTTGCCGGCCATTGTGGTGACAATGGCCTTGTGAAGATGTGCCGAAGAGTGGCTCACCCATAGTGGTCTATGGGGGAGCAATCATCTAGTCTTCATCGTGCCAATGCAATCAAGAAAGGTGGTCCAACTTGAGGGAGTCAAGATCGTCATCATCTAGCTCAAGTGGACCATGTGCAAGGCAAAGGTTTGCCCTTGGTAGGTTTTCTATTTTACCGGTCTCATGATGGTAGTTGGGAGACCGGGTTATAAGATCGATTGCCGTTCTATCAAGGGGGGCTCTCAATGAGTAGCTTGATCGTATCGTTCATAGAGAGCTCAAACCATTGCATCCTTGCATCATCTTTCTTGGTTCTTGTTTGGTTCTCTTTATGAGTCTTAGAGCTTATGGTCATCTTGATGACAAGCTTGAGTTCATTGAAAACGGAGTTCGCATGCATCTTCTATGATGTTGTCGATATTGGAGGTTTTGCCGGTTCTTCTCGGTTAGAGGTTTCACTCCTCTTTTTGTTGGCATACCTTCCCTGCCTCTTCTTACTATAACCAGTCACTGTTTTGATGCTACTCGTCGTCTTGTTTCCAACAAGCTTGAGTTTGCTCAATTCGGAGCTCATATGCAGAAGTTGTGGCAGTTTAGGCTCTTTTGCATCCTCTGTTTTCTCTGTTGTGTTCTTGAAAGCCTCAAGCGGTAGTACTGCTCTCTAGAGTGGTAGTACTGCTTGTAAGCAGCAGTACCGTGGCCCTGTGCCGCACGTGG